AACTCAAGAAAAGTATCACGTAAGTACGCATAATTCTCATGAGGATGCTCCATGCAGTCAAGACAAGGACAAATAAAATCATAGTTACACTTTCCCTGAGAAACCTTTTTAGAATTAAAATGCACACTCTTTTGACAAGCTACCAGAATTAACATTGTTATAAATCTAAAAAAATTGGTTGGAATGTGCGAAAAGGGGAAAAATAGAGCAACGCGGAGAAGTGGAAAGTTTTAGATTTTGATTAGCAGTCTCATGAGCAGTTGTATCACAAAAAACACTGATTGACTAATGATCTCAAGTAAACCCGGATGCTCAAACTGACTTCGCGGCAAATTAATAGATTCCGTAAATGATGGATCGAGGTAATCAATGTTATGATTATATACGGACAATTGCTCAAAGCTTTCCTTCTGTATTCAGTTCCATTCTGACTATGATTGTCAAGGTGTGCTAAAAGGAAAACTAACAAGCTGTTGTTGACTAGAGTAGAGGAAATATCAAAATCGAACATTTAAACGTGCTCAAAATAAGTGCTGACATCATTTCTTTAAAAAAGTTGAGAAGGTGGAATATAACCATTTTGAAGTGCTCTTTTGAGTTTGCGTACCGCAACCATTTCATTTCGTCCTTCCTATAACGAAGCAAAAACACCTTTATCCAGATTCAACGAATTTCTACAGAATTTGGTTGACTATCTCCATTGTCACGTCGTTCGCGTTTTTCGGAACACTCGGATCGAAACTGAAGAATATTCTCTATTAAAATCACTCGTCCTATTTTCCGGAGGTTTGTGATTCATATTGCACCCATTCTCGTACCTTGACATCGTGAGTGGCTGGAACATTGTAGTGATGCCCCTGACTGATGCTGGTTCTGAAATCGTTTTTCGAGCACGTCGTAAATATGCTGCTCTTTTGGCAGATTTCATTGCAAGTGCCCGACCAGATCTGAATCAAGAGGAACAAACGGAAAGGCTGTCCATACTTCTTAGCATCATCCCTCACATGATGGTATGTGATTATATGAGTCACATCAAACACTAAAGGTTTCGTGTAATTTCAACCTTTCGCTGAAATAAATTGAGATAAGAGTACATACACTTTAGTTATAATGTGTTATAACTCCAAAGTTCATTGTTTGAAAATCTAGTTTAATAAGCTTAGCAGCCCTTGTCATTAGTCGTAAAAGTTTCCCGTGTCACTTTTTCTAATGCAATCAACTATACGCACATATGAACCATTCTATTGACACATACTGCGATCCCTTGCCATGAATGTGAATGCCTTAGTGCAGAAACATTTCATTTCATTATTTATTGGCTGACTCGGGGACCAAATTTTCGCCTTGTACCAAAAGATATCTTGGTTGAATATTTTGCTGCATCCTTTTGACTTCCTAAATTCATAAAGCAGAAACGGTCGAACATATTTGTAGCCATGATCGATTTTAAAACGTAGCAAAAATTTGTGACAAATTTGGTACTCAGACCAGTGACCGACGTTTTGACTAAAAACCAAAACAAGAGAAATTTGGCAAAATATAAATGGCAGGAAACTTTAGCGACAATCTTATATTCTTCTTCTCTTCGTCTGTCAATTTCAAATGTGTGAAGTATAAACATAGTTAGCATTTATCTCATTGCCTGATCGCAGCCATAATTTCTGTGGATATTTCTTGACGCTGGAAGTTAGTTTTTCAAGCTCACTACAAGACTTTGCGGTAAATAGAGCAAATTGCGAAACGAAGTAATTCCGAGACTTCCATGTGCTTTCATTTGTCGTTCGTGATGCAACATAGTGTGTATCCATCCACCTATAATTTGTAATTATTGAGACTTATAATAGATCTTAACGCAATATGATTTTTAGCATGCCTCAGAGCTCGACAATATGTACTGCGCAAAACTGGTCATGATGAACATGGGTAACATGTACGGAAGTCTTTCTTACGATATTCACGTACGAAAGTTCTGATTGAAAGGTTTTATCATGATTTAAAGACACAGAGTATGACAATATTCAGGCGTTTTTTGCATGAATATGTTGTAATTATTTGTGATGTTACTGTCAGTTCTAGACCTATTTATTTGGAAATGTTTTTAAAGTAGATTATTTATGACCTGTAATGTTCGTAATAGCGCCTCATATGATTATTTGTTGTCTGCAATGCAATTATATGAACATTACGAAATTGATCATGTTATATGTCTTGCCCGAGCTGACTTTCAATTTTCTACTGGCCTCTATTTTCGCATCATGCAATAACAGTCCAGTATAGTGTGAAAACTACTCCACGAAAAACATAATACAAAATAAAAATTAAAAATAATTAAAGTGTGGATGGTAATACATATGTTTTTGCATAAAAGCCTTCAAGCGGGCTACAAGAATAGTAAAAAAATTTATGATTTCAAACTAACTGCAAAGGGAGCTGATGCGAAAGTGCTTCAAAAATGTGTGTCTGATGTGCGCTTGGATCAAGCGCGTCTACGATAGTTTCACCAGCTCTAACGAGTATTTATTTAGGTCACTTTGAAGTGTTTCTCCTTCCAAAAGATAGGAGTAAGGAAAAGAAAAGGTTATTAGGACTAAGTTAACAAATCAAGATGCTACGCTGATGTGTTTTTCAAGGCCGACATCTATTTGTGAAAGATTTGATATGGAATCCAAATTATTAAGTACGACGTCCACACTCAGTTACGAAGGACTACCCACATAGCGTCACTTTTAAGACCGGAAAGCTTAATTTACAAAGACAAATCCTAGCGAAGCAGATGTCCTCATTCTAGTCAAACTCGAAGTGGACAAATAGATTTCAACCTGTACAATAGAATTAAAGTCCTCAAAGTTATCGAAAACTCCTTTGTAGTGCTACACCGCTCATCATTTCTGCAAAGAAAACGTGATTTCACATAAAAAATCATCGCGAGCGTTGCATCGTCATAATTACCTTGA